ATTAGTAAAAGTAATACTGATGCCGACGAGAATGATGATAACGAAAGTCAGCAGCAACAATCACCACCTCTTCCGCCACCCAGGCAACCACATGTTAATGCTGCTGTTTTACTCAAAAGACATGCAAGAGCATTAAGTTTAGGTTTAAGTTCTTCAATTTCATCATCCTCCAGCGATAATCCTTCAAATCAAAACAACAGTACCCACAGTGATAACGACAATAATGATACTACTATCAGTAACAGAAATGAAAGTAACGACAGTGCTGATAATGCTAGTAATGAGTCTACAGGTGCAAATTCGAGAACAACACCGAGAAATCTAGTAAACAATGATAGTGTGCTTACCGAGACAGGTAATTGTTGTTATTCATTTGCGACAGATGAAAATATAACACTTGGGCGGAATATCGTTTGTGGTTGAGCCTTATTCGAACTTGTTGAAAAAGGGATATAATTAGCGCGTTAAAGTTATCTAAATGATTGATGATAACTTCTATTAAAAAACCTTAACAGATCAATTCGAGCAGTTGGTACCTGAAGTACCACCGCCTCCATACACACCGCCAGAGTCATCCTGTAAGTTTAAAACGGTTCACGAGTTTTAAGTTGATAGTATTTTTTTAGTTAACAATCTGTCTCACGTTTTGCAACCAACAGATATTCGTGGTCGTCGCCGCCCGTCCAACTTTTTCATTAAACCCAAGACCAGTACCGAACTACGCAAGGAACTGCAAAAACTCATTGAACAATCCAAAAAAGAAGCAAACAGTTTGAAGATCGAAGAGGCAAGATTGAGAATGCGATTGAATTCTAAGCCCGAAGACTTGGAACGAGTGAAAAGAAAGATACGAGAATCGAGTGAAAAATACAGAAAGAAGATTGAAGCAGTGAACAATAAACTGAGACAGACCAGTGCGAGAGATCAAAATGTAGATGGAGGTGATAGTAGGAATGAAATTAGCATGAATGAGAATTAAATGAGCATTGCTGTGTTGATAACGACAGAATATGTTGGGTTGATTAAATATTTATTGGGGGTTTATTTCATTACAATCCAAAGTGTAAAACGGTCGTTCTCAACATGCCGAAAATCTCCAACATAAGAAATCGAAATACATGTCTCGAATTTCTTTCTTCAGTTCACAAATTATTTTACTGCTTTGATTATATGTCAAGAGGCATTAATCCAAATGTCGTGACAATAATGCTTTTCTCTTCGTATCGCGTAGTTGCTTTTGTTTATTCATAATATATTCCTCTTTCATGATAAAGCTACTTAAAACAAGGAAAATCAATCTACACAAAGAGATGGTGCTTGGAATAAAGTCCACTGTCCATTCGAAGAATATTCAAAAAAATATATAACACGGATAACATGTTTTTAAGCACCAATAAAAATTGCAGAGAAAATTAAAAGAAATGTGTAAGGCATTATATCTATGTTGATTACTCGTCAAGGTTAGCTTGTACTTGCTGAAAATCCCGAGGATGAGGTGGATCCTTCTAATTTTCTTGAGTTTAACGCCCAGTTTAATTCTTCGAA